CCCCCCCCCACCATGGGTCCGGGTCTCGATTGCTTGCTTGCTGCTCTTGGCCTGCATGCAGCCCTTAGGTGGCCCGCTTTGGTTCTCTGACCCTCGGTGAGAAGCCATGCCTCACGAGTGTGTGCACGCTCCGTGTCCAGCTGCCGGGCACCCCAAGTGGACCCCCCGTGTCCTCCTCTTCCCCCGCCCCTCTCCTTGTCCTCCTCTCGGCATGGAGGCGGAGGCCATTTCCGTCCCCCCATGGGGTGCCCGAGGCTTGTATTTGCTCGAGCCAAGTTCTGGCACGGTGCTTGCGATACATTTCGACCATTGCCTCCTGCCTTGCCGATTCCCGCGATCACTCTTTTCCAGAAAGGTGGCGCAGGCGACTGGCGGTAGGCGATCGGGAATCCGGGAGGTGCCTCCCCGGGCGGGGGAGGGACTTGGCCGGTGCCGGGGTCTTCGGGGCATGCCTCTCGACTGGCGTACCACCTGGGTGTCCGACATTGTGAACACTCTTCGGCATCTCTCGGGAGGAAGTGCTCGTCGCGCACCTTGGGAACTCCCACAGCGGGCTCTTGCCGTGGGAGGGGCACCAAGCGGCAGGGCGAGTGCTAGCGCCCACCCCGCGCCTGCCGAGGCCCAGGTTCCCTCCCTGCCGGTCGATGGGGCAGGATTGAGCTCCGCCCGGGGGAAAACGCAGGGGTCTCCGATTTGGTGGGGCGAGGCCGGGGTCGGTGGCTGGCTGGTTGGCAAGACATTTGCCAGGCCTCTTTGGGCGGGAGCAACCGCCATGGCTCCGGGCCTCGCGCCTGCCTGGCCATCCCCATCCTGCTTTCCGAGATTGCCACGGGTCTCCTGTGCCTCGGTGCACGGGACGCATGCATTTCCTCCGGAGAGAGCTGAGGGTGGTATTTTCCCTCACAGGTCCGGCCCACAGCCCGGGGAAGAGATGGGCCTTTCCTGGTGGCAGGCGTGTGGCGGGGCCAGCCTACCTGCGGCCTCCCCCAGTCGGCGAGGGCGATTGTCCCGCAGCCTGGCCAGGCATCCGAGTGGCATCCAACCCGAGCAAAGGCACATCCCTTGCCCCCGGGACATCGGTGTGTTCCGTGGAGGGCAGCTCCTCGCTCTGGCTCAAGGACCGGGGGACCGACAGGCCTGGCTTCGTCGATGGGGGGTGCTTGGCAGAGACGACTCCGCGCGAATGGACACCCACAGGCGCCGGCCGTGCCGCCCAGTGTGCCTTCCAGCAGCCCTCGGCCGGCTGGCGTTCACGGCGAAGTCGTCACCAGATCATACACATTACCCCCGAAGGAAGAGCGATCACCATGCTGATGGAGATCCTCGACGCTGGTAACCAGATATCGAGGCACCTCCCTTCAGCACGCAGGCCTGGCGATCAAGGGCCGGACCCCGGGGTCCGGCCCGAGAGGCCCCGCGGTCGACAAGACCCTGGTGAGCGAGGTGCTCGCTCGTGTGCGTCGGTGGGTCTGCTGCTGCCGCCGCCGGGCAGAGATGCGGCCACAGGCGCGAGGGGCTGGAGCTGGACCTATGCTGGCCGGGGAACTTCGCTCGGACGGGAAGACCCCCACACCCGAGCGCCGGATCCCGCTTCGGACGTTTGCCCCATGTCCGCCCAACCCAAGACCAGGGGCCGGCACCGGGAGGGGGAGCCCTCGCATGCGGTGGTGGGGTCTCGCGCAATCTTCTTTTGATTTCCTGCTCGCACCCCGCCCCCTGTCGGGTGACGAGAGAACAGCCGGCCAGTGTGTCCCCTGGAAGAGGGGTCCCGTGGGAGGGAAGTCCGGCACAAGAAGAAACGCCCTCCGCTCTTTCGCCCGTCAGTACCCCATCCGGGCCGTCGCCCGGCCTCTGGACAAGCAAGGGTGAAGACACGCAGGGGCGGGAAAGGTGCACGGCAAGCGAGTGAAACAACAGAGGGGGGGAGGGGGGGGGGACAAAATTGCTGTTGGGGGAGGGGGGAGCACAACCGCATTGTACTCTCTCTATTGGGGGGAGGTGGGCGATGCGGCGCAGCTCCGCTTGGGGAGTGTGTGCCGGCGCGCGGGCCAAGGGAGGGCGGTGGGGCGCCTACGCATTTTGCCTCGGTGTGTGGATGTACACGTGCGTGACAAGGCGAGGAGGGGGACAACACGTAGTCGCAGAAGGACAAGGAGGAAGGAGGCATGCCGGCGCAAGACCGGCAGCGAAAGGAGGGCCGGATGCACGAGAACGTAGAGGGCGCACGTGCGCGCAAAAGGCGCCCCCTGAAGAACAAGAGAACACGAAGTGGCCGAGCGCCGCAACAGGTGCGCCTCCCCCCTCCGCCTCTCCTAGGGGAGGGAGGGAGGGTGGGGAGCAGGGAAAGCCCGCTGATGCTGCGCTCGCTCACCGGCATCCGGCATATGAACACGGCACCGGACCTAGGCCGCGGCGGGCTGGTTGAGGGAGGTGTAGTTGCTCCGGGAACGGTAGTGGTTGTAATACCAGAACTGGATGGTGATGATGAAGTCGAAGACCAGCACACCGGCACTGCCAAGCAGGTAGGGCAGGCGCTCCAGCAGGTAGTCCGGATCGACCGAGTACAGGAAGATGGAGACCGAGTAGAAGAGGTTACCGAGAGCCGCGCAGATGAACAGCTGGAGACTAAGGCCCTCGACACTCTGGCGCTTGAACTGGGGGGTCAAGTGTGGGGAGGGGAGGGGCCGGTTGGGGAAATGTTAGCCGATTCGAGATGATGGGGCCATGGAGGAGGAAGAGAGGGAGGGAGGGAGAGAGAGAGAGAGAGAGAGGCGTGAAGAGAGAGCGTGTGTACACGCGCGCGCGCGCGCGGAGAACGGGGAACGCCATCGAGAGCAGGCGGCGCAGGACGCACGTTGTGGAAGATCTGCGGGACGCGCGAGCCAAGATAGAGCGAGGTACAGAGCCAGGCAATCACAAGGCCAATGATGTAGGTGGGGTCGGTGGAGCCGCTGGCGGTCTCGGCGGCGGCGGTCAGGAACTCCGAGACACCGGCCAGGCCAGCCGACGCGAGAACCTCGGACGTGGGGGCGGACGCGCCGCCCGGGATGAGCCCAGCCCCGGCGCTCAAGGAGGCAATGGAGGCCACGGCGCCGACACCAAGCAGACCCGAGGTCATGAGCGCGGCCGAATAGAAGGGGACAGCGCCGGGGGAACCGGCAGCCGAGGTGGTGTTCTCCTGGTAGGAGGAGTTGCTGCTGCTGATCCTTGGGGTGGGGGAGAACGATTGCGACGCTGTCAATGACCCTGAGGGAGATGTCGCATTCGGCTTTGGAGCCTCGCGTGGCGCAACCAGCGCGCGATGTGCACAAGGACACACGCAGTGGGGGAGAGAGAGCAAGAAAGAAGGGGGGAGACAGCACATAGAGAGCCAGGGAGGGGGGGGGAGGGGGGGACGTACAGGTCATCATTGTCACCGAGCTGGTCGGTCATCGACGGAACCGGCTGAGGGGCCGTGGTGTTGCGGCGAGAGTTGTACCAGCGGTAATAGAAGAATTGGGACCAGAGGCAGGCGTCCACCAGACAGAAGTAGATGGCCGTGATGGTTTGGGTGACGAGCTGATCCGTGAGGATACACCCAACGAGGTTGGAGATGTCTCCCAACAGCCAGAGGAAGAGGAAGCCTACTGAGAGGGCAGTGGTATCCTTGTTCTTGTAGTTGGCATACAGCTGACTGTGTGACGAGGGGCAGCGGCCAGGGGGGGGGGGGGGGGGGG